GTTACAAAAGAAATATAAAATGAAAATGAAAATATTCACAAAAATATTGAATAACTTCATGATTAATTTAATGAAAAAATGATATAATTAGAAAGTATTTTAAAATTTTAAAAAGAAAATTATAATACAATTTATATATATATTAATATATATATATATATATATATATATATTTTATTTTATTTAGATATAAGATAAGAAAGAAGAAAAATCGAACAATAAATTAATTAATAAGAATTCGATATTAACATTGCTGAAAAAAAAGTTAAAGAAATCGATCATTTAAACTTATTGAAAACAAATGTTGAATAATAAATAAATGAATAAATTATTAAAAGAGAATTTTTATATACAGAATGTGAAGATTAATTTAATTAATTAAATAAATTGGTATAAGAATATAATGCTAATTTGAGTTAATTAAGTGAAATTTATATGTAGGTTTAAGATTTTATAGCAATTTTGAATTTCGAAAATTTAAGAAAAGATGACTTTTTCTTATTAATTGAAAGAAAAAATGATGAAGAAAATATAAATTTTAATAATAATAACTATAGTAAGTAAAATATAAAGGAAATAATGGGTAAATTAATTAATTTAGACATGAAAAAAGCTAAGGAAAAATTAAATAAATTAAAATAAGATTATTTGTAAACAATAAAGGAATAAGAAGATACTATAAAATAGACTTAATTTGAAATTGATTAGATGAAAGGAAATCTTAGAGATGATGAATTAAAAATGAATTAATTAAAGTTGAAGATTTAATAAAAATAGGATGAAATATAATTAATTTAAAAATAAATTTAAGATAGCTAATCTTAATTCAAAAAACTTTCAGAAGAATAAATTGAAAAAAATTCGAAATTGTCAATTATTATTAATAATATTAAAGCTGAAGAACATAATTAAACTAATGATTTGACTTATTTAATGAATAATGTAGAGAAAAACAAAATTTAATTTTAAAAAGAAAAAGAATAGGCCTAATATATTGTTGATATGCATTTGTAAAAAATAAATATGTTAAAATAAGAAAATATAAAGAGTTTAGAAGAGATTTACTTATTTTATCACGATTTGAATTAGTAAATTAAATGAAATATTTATTTAGTTTACTTTAAAAATGTTTTTGTATATTTTTTTAATATAATATTATATATGAATAACTTACATAATTATTTTTTTTATATTTATAAAAAAATATATAGATATTTATTTAATTCATTAACAATCTTTAATTATTTTACATTTTGATTTTTAATTTGGAATCGAAATTTATATGTATTCATCAGGTAAATCATCTTCACTTGATTGTTCTTCGTATTAAATAATTTAATTATTTTCATGTTATTGTATTTTTCCTTTTCTTATAACTAAATGATTTACTTCTTTTAAATCTTTATAAATAAAAAATTTAATACTAATATATTTTTGATAATTATGAGAAATGAAAAACTTATTATAAGGACTTAAAATTTCTAGTATTTTTTGGCTTACTTCTAGTATATATAATTGCTTTTAGTCTAATTAAGAAATTGAGAAATTTTCTTGATTTTTATATGTAGAAAACTGAATGGAAATTTTTAAACAATTATTTAAATTTTATTATGCATCCTATACTTTTAATTCTAAAAAACCTTAATTTTTGCACAAATCACAGGTTAAATTAGTTAAATTAAAAAATAATTAAGTTAAATATTAGGATTATTAAGATACTATAAATTATTCATGTATATTTTTAAGTAAAAAATTTAACTTTTTTGTCTTTCTTTTAGACTCCAAAACCAAATATATGTTACTTATAATTTCATTTAAATTTATTTATTTTATATCATTATCAAAATCGCCATAAATTTTATTTTTTATTGAAAAATTTTGAATAATACTAATAGTTTCAAAACTTTAGAAAATAGCGCTTAAATTATTTTCTTTGATTTAACTTATTTTTTTTTATACAGTATTTATTTATTAAGTTCTCAATTATTAGAATAATTTTTAAGATTAAGCACTTAATTCTTTGATAAATTAGTTAACTTTTATTTATTATTTTTATCTAATTTATTTTTCAAAGCGTAATTTTTATTCAATTGATTCTTCTTAAATTATTAAAACAATATATATATCATCTAAAAAATAACTAAATAATTTAATTTAAAATACTTAAGGTACACATAATCCTTATTCTTAAATATAATTTCCTTATATAAAATTATGTTCTTCGTTATTTAGAGTTTTACTAAATTAAGATACATTTTTATTTAGAGAAAAAGTAGATTTATTTTTTTATCTATTTTATTTTTAAGAAATATTTTTATTTATAATATTCATATTTTATTTTAATAAAACGCCTGTTTTATTATTGAAAGTATGGGAATTGTTTAATTTTTCGATTTTTTTGTAAGAATTATCAGATAATTTAGCTTTTTAAATATTTTTTTCGTCACATTTTTTCTTTTACTTTTATGTCTCCTTTTCAATTAATTCCCTTATTTTTTATTTTAACGTGCTTTTATTTTATGTTTGTATATCAGTTTCAATAAAAACATTTTAAATAAATTTGTTAAATTCGTCATTATTTTATATTTATAAGCATGCTTTTGCACTCTAATTTTATTAAAAAAGTTAAATTAATTCTTCCCTTTGATCAAATTTAGAAATAAAAATATTTGAAGGAATTAACTTATCTATTATATATTCGGATTTTTCATATTATTATTTTAATTAAAAACTCTACCTCATTATTTTTTCATCTTGAAACAAAGAGTAGAAAATTATACTGAAACAAAAATCATTGTGTAAACGTTGTTATACATAAAATTAAAAAGAAAAAATATAATAAAATTTAAGGTAAATACTGTAAATAATTTATATCTTATATTATATGAAAATCTTAAAATTATTATTATTAAGATATTACTAAAACCATATTGAAATTCGCTATAAAACTATAACTAAATCTTATATATAAAATCATTTTAAGATAACATTAGCATTTTAAAAACTTGTAATTAGGAAAAGAATAATACCCCTTTATGGAAATTTTTTTTTCTAAAATATAAAGTTAAAAAAATAAATGCATTTATAATTACTATGAAAGTTTAGTAAATCATGTATTTTTAGTTTAAACTATCTTTATTGTTCAAAAAATATATTCTATATAATTAATGAAAAAGAATTAATATTTCATTAAAATTTTGAAATCCTATTATTTTCAGTAGAACACAGGTATTTTGATTAATTATATTATTTTAATATTAAAGTTCTTGTATTTTGTTTTTAAAAATTAAAGAATATTAATCCATTATTAGATTTTTTTTTTTTTATAAAATTATAAAAATATTAAAATTTAATCAAAATAAATAAAATTTAAATATTTTTTTAAAAAACAAAAAAACAAAAAAATTATTAATAAAATAATATTTTTATATATAAAAATTTCTATATTTATAAAATATAAACTATAAAGTTATTTTTAATATTAATAAAGTTATTCTTCATATTCTTTGTTTAATATTTAAGTAAATTTTTATATTATTCTCATTTGAATGTATTTTTCGTGCCTTTTCTTAACTATTAGGAAAAGTTGCTTAGATTATACCTATCTCTTCTTTAATTTAACATTTTTAATTTTTTAGGTTCTCCTTTTTACATAATCTTTTTGATATATTTTTCATAAATTTTAATTACATTTCCAATATTATTATTAGGAAAATAATAAAAGAAATCTTTTTATTTTTCAAAATTTCGAGGAATTATAAATTCTGATTTTTCAAACTCGTTTATTGCCTAGGAATTTTTAGCAATGCTTTTATGTTATTCTGCTCCACTATTTATTATAGAACCTGACTTAGAACGGTTTTTACTAAAATAACTATGATTTTTCTTTGCACAATCTTTATAAACTTCACATATTAATTACTTCAGAACCGAAATATTTTACTCAGATTAAATATTTATATTAAAATTACTACCATTATTACTATTAGAACTTTTATTATCATCTTAATCTCCTTCTTAAGAAGATAATGATTATTATAAATTTCTATCTAGAATTAAATTATTTTCACTACTTTGAATTAACTCTTTCATATTTTATTTAGTTTTATTATCGTTTCCTTAAAAAAATAATATAAATATTTATTTGTATGCTTTATTTAATACCATGATTTTTTTTTTATAAATCGAAATTTACCATAACTTATTTTTTATGCTTAAAATTATGATTTTCTATATTTAGAATAGGGGAATTTATTTAATTTTTTTCTTTAGTTATTAATTATTAAATATTATTGATAGTTTATTCGTAAAATTCTAACTATTTTGCATCATAATATTGTTAAAAATGTTCGATTTCAATATCATCTACTTATTCGTTTGAATTAAATATTTTATTTTCAAAATCATAAACTAATTCTGGTAATCCTATATAAAATTAGAAATCATTTGAATTTATTATTTCTTTTTCATCTTCTGTTTATATTTAATCTAAATCATCTACTGTTTTTTTAACAAATTCCCATCTAATGTTTTTTAAAACAGTTCTTTTTTTTATTTTTTTTTTTAAAAAAAAAAAAAAAACATTAATAAATATTTACATATTTTAATTAAAAATAATTATTTTCTGTATTTATTTTTATACTTTACACATTAATTTATTATTAAAGTATTCAATTTATGTTATTTATTTCTTGTTTAAAATTTTCTTATTTACGAAATATTTTTATTGTATCTTGCTATAATAAGTAATTTTGGTCTTCTTTTGTTATAGAAAGGACATTATAATAAAGAATGTCCGAGTTTTTAGCAACTAAAACAAACTTATTCGAAGTTTCTTTCATAAACTATTATATTATCATGCAATCTACAAAAATTTTCCTTTTTTGTTTAAAAAGAAAATATTACTTGTTCATATTATTTTTTTTTATTTATTTTTTTTCTTTAATTTTATTTAAAAAATTTAATCAAAAAAAATAAAAAAATATCCATTTTTTCTTTTTTCATTTTTTCATTTTAATTGGAATTTTAAAAACGAAATTATAAAAAAAAGAAATATGAATAAATAATATATTTTGAAAATTAAATTATTTAAATACATAATCTTTAGGAAAGGATTTTAATATGTCTAATAAATCTTATCTATTAAAATATGCAAATTGGGCTGGAGAAGAACATTAAGCTCCATATTTTTCTGGTAAAGAAGAAAAAAAACTATAATTTCCTAAAACATCTCCTTACTATTTTTTATTTGAAAAATAAAATTATAAATATACATATACATATATATATATATATTTATATATTTATTTATTTTTTAAAAAAAAAGAGTTTACATTTGCTTATCCGATTTTTTTTTATTCATTTCCTATTTATTAATATACATCAACTTTACCATCATATAGAAAATAAATATTTTAATTATTGCTATTTTATAAATATACATAATCTCCAGCTTATAATATTAATTCTTTCATTTAAATACAAAATTTTTCTCGTGCTTCTATGGAAAAGTTTAAATTAAATAAATTATAACTAGATAAGATTTTTCCAAAGAATTCTTTTTTAAATTCAGTTTAAATATTTTAAGATAATTCTCGAATTATTTCTTCTCCTCTTTTATTTTTATTACTTTTTTAAAGATTTTAGTGTTACATGCTTTTTAATATTTATAATTACATTCTTTTTGTTATATTTCTAGTCCTTAAATAGATGTTAATATCGTATTTATTTTATCTTGATTTTTTTTTAAAAAAAAATAAATAAAAAAAATTACTTAAATTCACTCTCTCTTTTTGCTATTTCTTAAAAAATAGTTCCTTTTATTATAAATAAATATATAATTTTTTTATTTTTTAAAAAATACCTATAGTATTCATAGAATAACCAAATAAACCACAGCTAATAATAGTAATCATAATAATAAATAATTTTTCTCTAGGAGTTTATGGAGTAATATCCCCATAACCAACAGTAACCATAGTAATACATGCAAAATAGTAGCTATTTAAATATCTGATATTATACTCAGTATTAAGAAGTTCTTCTTTATGTAGCCACGTATCATTTCTTCCATTCTAAATATCAATCATAGCCACATAATGGAATAAACAAGCCACAAAATGAGCCATCATAAAAACAAGTAAAAGCAACTTAATTAAATCAAATATAGTCGAAAATCGTTACTATAATTAAAAATGTTCGTCTACCATTTCAATTATTTTAGGTAATTAATAAATTCTAATTAAAAAAATCCACATTAGTATTTACTCGCCTTCATAACTAATAGAAACTGATAAACTAGTAATTAAGTTAATCCAAAAATTAAACTTTATATAATTACTTTGAATTTCAACTATATCAGCCACAAGTAATCCATTTTTATAATAAGCAAAAGTGAAGTTTATAAAAATGTCTATAATTAAAATTATTTAAGGAATAACATCACTTAAAATATAACCCAGGGAGTATTTAGGCAATAATATATCAAAAGAAATTTTAAAAGGAATACTAAAAATTAAACTCATAAAACCATATAATAAAATTAAATTCCAATATAAGGCTATATTATCACTTGGTTCAATAACAATTATTTTACGCTAAACATTATTAAAGTTAAGTTTAAATTAGCTCAAAATATAATAACATCTGTCTCCTATGGCTTCTATATTCATCATATTTAAATTATTATAATTATTATAATAGGTATATTCTTTTAGGATACTAACAAACTTTCTTACACGCTTCATTATTCCTAATATTTTCCATTATAAATCGGCTCCTTATAGCTTTTTATTGTGAAGTTGTTCTATTTTCACTAAATTATGTACTGGCTTTTTGGATGTTTATACTAACTCTACTATATCTTAGTTTTGCTTTATTGTTTGCTAAAACCTTTGGTCTTCGCTTTGTTTTTTGGCAAGTTCGATTAGTTGCTTTCCTTTTCTTAATTTGAGAAATTCGTCTATTTTTTCTTTTTCATATATTAAAATTCTTTTTTTGTGGTTTTTTATTGTGTTATAAAATTACAGTTAATTGTTTTGAGTTTGATAACTTTTTGTATTATTTTTTAAAAAAATAGAATTCGGTATGTTTTTTTCACTAAACATTGATATATTATTTGTTATGTTTTCATTTAAGGAGTGTGTAATATTTTTGCTTATTTTTTTTCCTTCAAAAACATTTAAAGGATTTTAATTAATTTATTAATCGTCAATATTTTTTTAAATTATATTTTATTAAAATAGCTAAGCTCGCATTTTGGCACCTGTTGTATTCATTATTGTATAAATTTCTTCGAGATGAATTTTTTCTTTTTAATTAGTGTCATTTTAATTAGGTTAATAAATTAAAATATTGGAACTCATTTTGCTTATTTTTGCTTTTAATATTTTAATTTATTATTTAAATATTTATTTGTTTTTTTTTAAATAAATATAAAAAAACATTAACTTTATTTTATTTGTAAGTATTTATATAATTTGTTATTATTTTTATTTCATTCTCTATATTAAGTATATTAAAAAATTTAAATAAGCATTTTACATAATTAACATAAGTTTAATGACACATAAATGACATTTAAAATAGATTATTTATTATTACTTTTTTCATTTGTAAGTTGATAAAGAATTTTTAAAAATATATTTTATTATTATTATTATATCATAATTTATATTAAGCATATTAAAAAATTTAAATAAGCATTATACACAATTAATATAAATATACAAATTAAAGTTATTAAAAAAATAAAAGCTTCTTCTTTTTTATTCATAGAAAATAAAATAAGAATTATTATTTTTCAATATAATTTTATTAAAACTGATATTATATATATATATAATATTAATTTATTAATAATAAGAAAATAAAATTAATTAATATAAATGTCAAATAATTATTAAAACGAAGATTAAGGAAAATAATAAAAGCAAAAATAAAAAATCGAATAAAAAGAATTTACAAAAGAAAAAAAAGATTATAGTAAGATTAATTATGGAAAATGATTGAAGCTGAAAAAGAATCAAGGGAAATTTTGAAATTAAAATATAAATTAGATTAAGCAAGATAATTAAGAGAATAGACATCATAATAAATAAAATAAGTTAAACATGAATATACTTAAATGAAAACAAACTTAAAGCAATTTATCCATGAATAAAATTAAACAACTCACAAAGTAACATATCCTAAAAGAGGACAAAAAGAATGAAGAATATAAAAATATAAATAAAATATTATTTGAAAATAATAATCTTTTTTTATTTTAACTAAAAAAATATTAAAAATTAACTATTATATAAAAGTTAATAAATAAGTTAAATACTATTTACAAATTAGTCTTCTCTTTTTAGAATTTACATTAATTAATTAAAATTTTACAAAAAATAATACAAATTTAAGTTTAAATAAATAACTATTTTTATTTTTGATTAATAGAAATAAAAGAATTAATATAAAAATATGTATTTTATTAATATAAATAAATTAAATTAATTTTATATTAATAAATAATTTACTACATTTTTTCAATATTAAATTTATTTTTTTAAATAATAATTTTAAAAATAATTAAGCTCTAATATAATAAAAATAATAATTGCTTTAGCATAATTAAATTAAAATTATCGTATAATTATAAAAATTAAAATAATTATCATTCCAATTATTTTTTTGCATTAAAAATCTTTTAATTTAATAATTATTGTTATAATTATATTATTATTTAATTAAAAAATGTTTTAATATTATATTTCAACTCATTTGTTTATGAAGTTATTATTAAAAAAATTAATCAAAGAATAAAGCCATATATAAAAAATTCAACTAGTTAATTAAAAATATAAGTATTTGTTTATTAATTCAAAATCTAAAAAAATATCATAATATTATTAATTTTAAAAAAACGAATATCATAAACATTTAAAAACTTTAAAAAAGTTAAAATATTTTAAATTTAATTTTTAACAAAAAAAATGTCAAAAATCAAATAAAAACTAAGAGAAAAAAGCAATGTTTTAATTTGCAATGCAACAATATTAACATGCATTATAGTATTTTTATTTACGACTATATTTCAATATTTTACTAATAAATATAACAAAATTATTTAATTCATTCCTGAAGAAATGATAATAGCACATAATATTTTTAATTTTATTCCAGACTTAGCATATAGGGTTAGATAAATTAATACAGATATGGAGTAATTTATATAATAAATAAAAAATATCTAATAAATTAAATATAACAAAATAACAAAAGATTATAAAACAAATTTTAACTTAATTATAATTTACAAGAAGTATAAATTATATTTATTAGAAATATTTTTTAATATATATAAAAAAGCTTGAATATGCTAGAAGTAAATTTAAAAATTTAATAAGTTCAGATGTTACTGTGTTAATGAGTAAATTCGAAAACGAAAATAATTAATAAGAAATTTAAAATAAATAAAACTTAGGCTTTTAATATAATTTAATAAGATTATATATAAACTAAAATTTACCTTCTTTAAATACAACATAGCATTAATATGATGAATTTATAGAAGAAATATTAAGTACTTTTAAATAATAAGCAGATCAATATGAATAAAAATTGCATAGTTTTTATAATTATAATAATAAATATTTTTAAATAGGTTTTCTAGTATTTAATATTTTAAAAATAGCCGCTATTTCATTTTGTATTAAAAACCTTTTTGTCTCGATTAAAACAGTTAATGAGTTGAAAAATTCTATAGAAGAATATTCTAACTTTAAATTAAGCACACCTCTTGCTATTTTTTGTTTTTTAATAATACTATCTTTTTTTATTTAAGGATATTATTTCTTCTAATTAATTTATAATGTTAATGGATGTTTAAATTTAAATTAATTATTAAGCTAAAGGACTTCTTTACTTAGATACAGTTAAAGCAATTTATAAGAATAAATTTACTTTTAATCTTCTAGTATGTATAATTAAACTAATATTGTTTAAAAATTACTTTTTCTTTAAGTATAAAATGAAGAATAAATTCTGAATGCTAATTCTATAAATTACTATCTTTCTAATCATTTTAATAAGTAAAATAAATATTTTTTATTTAATTTTTTTTTAAATAAAACAGATTTTTTGATTATTTAAATTAAACTAATTTTTAATATTTTTGTGAATTTTATTTTGATATTCAAATTGAACGAAATAATTGCGAAAATTATTGTTAGCTTAAATTAGATTTATATGATAAGTTTATTTTGTTTTTTATATTTTTAAATTATACTAATTATTTATTTTTAGATAAATGAATTTATTAGATTATAGTTAATAAAATGCAATTTATAATGATAAGTTTGGATGCAGACTTTAAAAATCAGATTAAAATTTTACTGGGATAGTTAATAATATGAAATAAATAAGAAAAAATATAAAAAATATTTGGGAAAATTATTTAACTGAAAAAGAATTATATTAGAATTTTTAAAATGATTAACTAAAATATGTTTATATTAATAAAACAAATTATTAATACTTTTCAGAAGCATAATATTTTAATATATAAATTTATAATGAAGCCTTAATTATATAATTATCGTAATTATTAAAATATTATTTAGAAGTTTTCTTTTAATTTTATAAGTATTATTTTTATTTAGATTTAGTCGCTTTAAGTATTTTTTTAGTATATTGGATTTTATTTTATTAATATCTTCTTAAAAATATAAACAAAAATAAAAGTTAATTTCAAGAAATTGTATTTTAAAATTGAAATAATAATTTTCAATATTTTTATACACACTATATAAAAAGTTTTATTTTTATTGATTTGAAATTTAAAAAAAATAAAAAATATTTATACTTTTTAATATTATATTAATTATTTTATATTTCCTTTTTTTTTTTGCTATCATTTAAAGTCGATAAGGTTTTTTTTATTTATTGAGTTTCAGTAAGTAAGGCTAATGCTAATTTTTCAGATGTTTCTTTTAACTTTTTAATTAATTTATAATAATTATTTAACATTTAAATAATATTTGATATAATTTATTACTTTTTATAATGATTTTTCAGATTCGTTTATAATTTTATCATAATTAGTTAATTTATTGTTTTTATCTTAAATTTAGTTTTTTATTTTTTATATTTCATTACGTTTTGCAGTAAATATTTCATTTTTTTATTTAAGCAAAGACTTTTCATTTTCGAGTTTAGTGAATAATTATTGTTTCTCTTATTTTAATTAATTAATAACTAATTTATTTTTTATATTATAAAAAGTAAAAATTATTTATTGTAATTTAACTAGATAATAAATTGCTCAATGAATCTGTATTATTCATTTTATTCTAATAAAGTTGTTTTAATTGATAAAAAATGAATTTTTTGTTAAAATCTGTATTAGAATTATATAAATTTTTAAAAAATAATAAAAAATATATAAATTAATATTAATAAAAAATTAGTTTATTTGATTTCTTAAAGAATTTAAAATATATTTATTATTATTTTCTTTTTTTTAGAAATAAAAAATTTTATAATCTTTTAATATATAAGTATATTAATAAAAATATTAAATTAAAAAATAAAAATATTTCTTCTTCTTAAAACTAAGGTAATATTTTTGTTATTTATATTATATTTAAAAAAAAAAATATCAAATAAATTTAAATAACTACATATTACATACACAAATAGAATTTTTTCAAAAATATATATTTTGTGCAATTAGATAATTTTTTATTTTTTTTTTGCTATAAAAAAAAGTCATATTCATTAAGCTGTTTATTCTTACTATTATTCTTATTACTATTATTCTTCGCCTTAATTTTCTCCTTCTCTTCTTCTTCCACCTTATCCGTATCCTCTTCTACCACCTTCACCTCTAGCTCCTCCACGGGGATTGTTGAATCTTCTTTTGGCTCTACCTTCTTCATCTTCTTCTTCTCTGGAAATGTAATTTTATTTGGATGCTTTAAAGGTATTAGGAATAACGTTATCAGCAGAAATACCGAGTTTTTCCTTCAAATATTCACATCCCTTAAGATTTAAATAAAGATAAGTGAATCCCCAATTATATACTTCCTCCATTAAACCTCTATCTTTTAATGATCTTAATAAAATATAGCAATGGAGATTTGGAACACCGGTTTCTTCGTGATTTCCTTAAAAGTCTTTTTTCAAAACAAAAACTCCATCATTTAATAATTATTTGTAAATTTTAATTTTTGTTTATTTTGGAACGTGTACCATATTTTGTTTTAATTTTTTGTTTTTTTATTTAATATATTATATTATATTAATTTTTTTTTTTCTTTTTAATATTTTTATTTTATACTCTTTATTTTTTTGTTTTAAATTAAATTAAGTATTTTAATATTTTTTTTTTTTAATTAATAAATATTAATATCGTATTTAAATAGGAACTTTTAAAATTTTTAAAAATACATTTCTTTATAATTTTATGTTTTTTTTTTCAATAAAAAACTTATTTTTAGTTTAAAATATATATTTTTTTATTTAATATTTTACTTTTAATTTATAAATTTAATAACATTTGGTTATTGTTGGATTTATATATATAATATCGAATAATATTTACTAACTCTTAAATTGTATTAATTGAAAAAAAAAAAATATTAATAAATATAATTTTTTTAAAAAAAAATCCAAATTCATTAACTAAACAAAAAAAATAAGAAATTATTTATGAAGTACTTATTATTTATTCTTATCAACATAATCTAAAAAATATTAAATTATAAAATTTACGGTTCTTCAATAAAAGTTTTGGAACCAATCGTAAACCAAGCATATGAATATACATTTAAATTCATGACTGAAAACATTTTAACTACAAAAGATTATCTAAGAATCCGATTTCCATACTAAATTCATTATTTAAACGGTATAAATGATGTCGAATTAACAATAACAGACACAATATAGACATAAAAAATTATTTCTAAAGTAAATACACTTACAACATAAAATAATTTATATCACTTCTAATTCACTTAAGATTTATTACCATATAATTGGTATATAGCTACTTTAAAAGGGGCCATAAACTTATAAAAAGGACAAATATAAGGAATTTAGGCTCAATTAAAAGTATCTATAGTCACTTCTACATTATCGAATTCTATAGAAATTGATTAAAATAATATTTTTGGGTCTTTTGCACTCTCTCCTCCTTCCTAAAATACTTTAGAAATTTAACCTACATTCTTATAAGATAGTATTGTAAATAAATATATTTGTTTTTTAAAAAAAATAAAATAATATAAAAAGTAATATAGTTAAATTTAAGGTGGAATATATTATGTATAAATAAAGATAATAGCTTCTAAGAATATAACGTCTTTTAATTTAGTTTAAGATAGTGGAGTTAAGTACTAAATTTAATTTTCAGACCCTTAATTTACATTTTTAGATGTAAATTTATGCAAAATAAACAAAAAAAATAAAAACAATCAAGATGACTGCAAATGCTAATCCATAAATGATTATTCTATCTCTGTTTTTTGTACTTAAGAGCTTTATTTTGTAGATTCTACCACTTATGATCATATTGCAATTACTTTAAAAGTAAAAAACCCTTCCAAATATGTCCAGAACGCAGGCTTTATTTGTGAAACAATATAACCTTTGAACTCTGTAGTATAAGAAATAGGCTCTTATTTAGATTTTCTGAAAGTAAACTATGTATAATTTTCTAAATTATCATTAAAATTAATGCATGGAATCGAATATACAAGTAATTCGAATTAACTTTATAATTTTCCTTTAGGAATTTATATTCCAAGTAGTTCAACTAGTAATTTTTAACCATATAATAGTGTAAGAGTAGTATTTTAAATATAAGAAGATTTACTAATTAACACAAAAATTTAGATATAAGTATAGTTTTTCAAGGCTTAGGCTTTTTTAGAAGGCTCAGTATATCATAATTTTCCTAAATAAAATCCTAGTTAGGTAAAATGCAAATTTTAATCAAATTAATAGACTGTAATCTGTAAAGGAATAGGATAATTATTAAAAAATACAGATTATTTTTTTGGAGGAAGAGTTGCGTATACTAATGATATGTAAGGATTATCCAATAGTGATAAATTGTAGTTATAGAATTTCGGGGCTTTGTAAATTTTTTCGGAAGATTCAGAAGGTAATTTATACGCTATTACGGAAAAAAAAAGTCCTTTGAACACTGTTTAGGTGTTCGAAAGTCAAGATTATTTAGATTCAAGTGGGAGTCATGGATTGAAAAATTTCGGGAAAAATATTGTTTGCTCAGGACCTTAAAGTGGAAATTTTTTAAATGCTTTCAATTCAAATGTTTCTAATGGTGGAAAAGTTGGTATTATCCCTACTATTAATAATTAAAGATTAATTTTTTATGTATATTTCCTATTTTTATATATTTATTATATTTTAAATTTTAATTATTTTATTTGTGTTTTTAAAAATAAATAGATTTCTGTTAGTTAAGATTAATAAAGTTATTATGATGGAACAGCTTATGTATAAAAAACTTATATGAAAATGATTTATAATCAATAGGAAATATAAATATCTGATATAGATTTACCAAAAGGAATTGAAATTAAAGAAAATTTAGCAGCAAGTATTATTTTTTTGATTTATAAATAAATATAAAAATATTAAAAAAATAAAAAAGCTAGTAAATTTGCTCCATATAATACAAATATAAATACAAACAAAATCGCAGTTTAAAAAGACGTGAATTAAAATATTATTTTTAATTACGTTTATCTTGAAATATTTACTGATCAGTCAGTTTTTGGAGGATCTTCGAAAGGTTTTGGTTTACAAAACGTCTCTTTTAAACCAACTTTTAAATCTTCTCAATTTGTTGCTGATGACCGAGTTTTGGATTTTCTATTGTGTTTTATGTATTCTCCTAATCCAAATATTAATTAGCATTTAATAAATACTTGTTAATTAATAAATGGTTATACTATATATCCTTAATATATAAATTCTCCCTTTTAAGTTGGTTTTAGTAATATTTTCAAAAAAGGCTAATCAATAAATTATGGGTTAAAAATACCTACAATTATAAGAATTAGTGGTACTTTTAATACCGGGGAAAAAAATGGTGCTACTGGAAATGATTTAAAATTAGCTGTTATAGTAGACAAGTCTGTTTAGAAGTTTTTTGGTGTAAATTAATTCGATTTCGTTGATAATTAGACAGAAGAAGGGTGTGGAGGAAGTTCTAAAAAATGCTATTTCTTTTCTGATGGCGGAGATGTATTGATTTAGGCAAATGATGATAATTGGCAACTATAATAATTTATAGTATTAGATTCTATAAATTTAGATAACGAAATTTAAGCTGTTTTTCCTGTACTTTTGTATCCTGGAAAAATTCCTAAAACAATTAATTTAGGTTTCATATATTTTAATAATAATATAAATAAAAAATTATTTTTGAATAATAGCAATAATTTAATTCAATTCTTTTAGAAATATAGAAGTTTTGAATACTATTCGTGTTTTCGGTGCTTCTTTATAATTAATAAATTTCGCTACTGATAATAGATATTTCTAAGATGTAAATTCTATTATTGATAGTAATGGAGATTGGAATTCTTTAAGTGACTTTTAGAATTTCGCCTCTTTAAACAATATAGTGGCAAGTTATGGGATTAAGGATTTAAATTAAATAAGGCCGGTTTAAGAATTGAATAGTTTTGTTTTCCTATCTGAGCATACAGATAGTAATAATTAAGTTTAAATAAATAATTAACTAAACTAAGGAAGTGGATTCACTGTTTGTTCCTTGAAAGAAAATTATTTCGGTACAAGCGCTTAAATAGTCGCCTTTGATGGCAATAGTAGTCCTTCTATAAAATGCATTTAATAGTTTAAATATAAAGTAGTTTTATAGAATAATCAATATTATAATTATTTAACATATTGTCCTTATGATAATTTAGGTTATATAGATGGGTAAATTGGAAAAGGTGTTACTTTTGATAAAATAACATTTCCTTTTTATTTTGGTTAGTTATATCCTTTAGCGGATACATTTTCTTATTCCTGGAGTACAAAAACTGGTTAACTTGTGGCCTTTAAAAATTAGGCGCTAAGAATAGGAAACGGGTCTTCCGGAAATGCTTGCTCAGTTTCTTCTTGGGGAGCTTTTTTTAAAAATACTTCAATGTAATATATTTCTATAGAAGTCAAGCATAGTATAAGTATATAAATGAAACTGAAAACTTAAAAAGTTAAAATATAGCTCATTTTAAATAGTAAACCTCTTGGCATTTAATTTTCTACTTCTTGTTATGCAACTTGCAGTACACCAAATTGTTAAATTTCTTAAGATTTCTTAGACTGTACTTATCTTGTGGTTGGGGATAATATCGAATTCGAACTTAAATTGAAGGATGATGTTCCAGTAATTTTCGATAAAAATAGTGTTTATAGTATATTTTTTTGTATTTCTCATTAAGAAAGCATTACTTCAACTTAAAATTTTACTTCCAAAATATTGTTTAATGGGTTTGTTGTGGATGATTGTACTACTGCAGGCAATAAAAATATTCCTATGGCTACTGCTAATCCGAGTGGCAATTAGAATTATATGGAATTAACTGATTTTGTTATTTCTACTCCTATATAAGGGGCAAACAGTAAAGTTAGTTGGAATTTTAAATTAACGAGAGATACTATAAAAGATACTATTGTTAGGTTTACTTTAGGATTTTTATCATCTCCTAAAATGCTAAATAATGTATTTTGTTAGGTCTTGGAAAATGCAACATATAAAAATTATTTTCCTGAAGGAGTATATTTGAAAGATGTTGAAAGGTTGAAACCTTCTAATAAATTCTCGTATATTAATTATAATACATAGCTTAATAGTATTGATATAGGAATGAAAGGAGGATTTTCAGCTGGAATCTTTAAAATGGAATGCGAAGGATTTAAAGGACCAGATGGGGAAAATTAAACGGATTTTTAAGCCACTTGGATTGATAATTAAACTTAAAATATTATTATTTAATCCACTTTGAAGCGTATATTTATTTTTATTATATAAATTTTTTATTTTTTTAAAAAAAATAAGCAATTTAATATTATACTTTGAATTTATCCAAAGTCGCTTATATTCTTAAAGGTGAAAATCTTAAATTAATTAATAAATATTTTAATGCCCCTGGTAATATATATATTACTTTTAAAATAAATAAAAAATATTTCTATATCTAATTTTTAGGTTTCGATGGAGTATATGTGTTTTCTTTTATACCTTAATTGACTAAAATGAGCATAAATTCTAGAATTTATATCGAATTTTCATAAACTTTTTAGAAAGGACTTATTGGATAAGGTTATTTCCCATAATGTAGTTTAAATAATTAACCAATATTATGTATTAGTGATTCTGATAATTCTAAAAGATTAATAATTTTTCCAGTTTAAGACATAGATCAAATTTTATTACCTAAAAATAAATATAATTTAGTTGTAGCTGGTGTATAATAACCCCAAACACTTTCAAATTATAATAATATATGGTTCGCTATTGATTCAGATGATAACATTCTAAACGGAATCTAAGAATAAGGAGATGTTTCAGATGTAGAAATTTAAATTCAATCAATTGATTATTTATAAGATGCTGTATTTGCAATGAGTACATAAAATATTCGTCAAGAAAGATTTCTACTAAGTAAAAAAAAAGATTAAGTTTTTGAAAAAATATTTTTTTTAAAAAAGATTTTAATTTTACAGTACCAAGTCGTTCGATATCAAATAGAAGAATTGCTTTTATGAAAGTGCCTTCTTCTTTTTATTCTCGAATTCTATCTTTACAATATGATTAAACTTACTTATAATAAAATCTTTAATGTAGATTATACCGAGATAATGATTCTATGAGAAAAAATTTAACTTCATCTTGCGAATATGTATTTTAAAATAGCTTTATTCGAATGAATTTAATTCAAGATGATTATAATTAAGTAAATTAGGCTCGATATTGGATGCAAATATTTTATTTGAAGTCTCCAGATTATATTATAGATGAATAGTTCCCAATTGAATTTCAATTTTTTATCACAGATAGCACTCTCAGACGTATTTTATTCGATTTTTCACCTTCATAAGCTACTTATCCCCAAATTCTTGCATTTTAAAAGCCTCGATAGGATTAAAAACTACTCCAATGGTACACATATAACCCAACAGAAAACAACCAATTAATTGTTAAGCCTTTTAAAGGTCGAGAAATCCTCATGTTTATTAAAATTTATCGCGGCATAATACAAAAAGATAAAAAAATACGCCTTTAAATCGAATAAGGAACATATTTTAATGAAGATATGGAACTTTATTTTGATGAAGAAAAAAGTTTCAAGAAATTCAAGATTTTCACTGGCTAAAACAAAACGGAAGAAAGTTCAAACATAAAAATCTACACTGGAGATATTTTCCTCGAATTTTATATAGGGGGAAAAATAACGACTGCACCGAATATATATTTCCTTTCTTTGAAAAAGAAAGCACTTTTTGTACCTTTTGAATAACCCGAAATTTCCCCTTTACCAACTTTGGTCTTGCTTTTGTTATAAACTTAGTGTATTATTTATTTGCCTTTTTAAAAAATTGATGTTCCTTAAGGGGCTTTTTCTACAGAAATTTATATAAATTTTCCAGCTTGTGTACCCTCTGATCATATTATTATTAGTGTTTAAATTTTAGAAAATGTCCAGAATAATGAAATTTAAATTTTGGGACCTACGAGGGCCTTTGTGGGGTATAAATATGCACATTTTGCGTCATTTTAGGTCGGAGTTAGTTAAAATGCATAATTAGGTAATAAATATAATATAAAATTTGAGCTTTCGGGCGTTGATTTTGAAGTTTTTAAGTTAGAATAGAATAGCATAGAAGTTAATATTGTTTAAAAAGAAACGAATTAAGAAAATGTCGTAATTTCTGAAATCATAAGTAGTCTTCAAAATGATTAAAAGTCGATAAAATTAACTTTATAATGTAGTGCTAAAGGGAAGGCTTTTTGGCTTTTGGCTTTAAATGAAATAAATGGAGATAACTTATTTTTTAAAGATTCTAATTTTTACGAAATAATTAAAGAAAGTCAATTTCAAGAAACTTTTCAAGAAATAGACGTTTCTGATATTGTCACAAAAGCCTCTTTTCATTTTTTTTATGATATTTTTAACACATAAAATTATTAAAAGCTTTACTTTAGGAAATATGGCTAGGTTTATGTCGAAAAAAATACTCCCTTTTATATATAATTTAATTCACTGCCTTAAAGAAGTAATTTTTCGTTTCTATATTTTTGTTAAAATCAATATTCGATATAAAGTGATTTCAAAACAAAAACTTGGAAGACTTAATGGCATTTAGATAGTAATAATTAGCCTAAAGGAAAATACTAAAATTTATAAATTACATTAGGATTTAGTTAATAATTAAGTTCTTTACAATATAATGCTGTTTAGAGTGCTTTATAGAAATAATTAGAATTAAATTATTTGAGCTTTTCAAATTTATAGTGTCAAAGTCCTGATATTGTTAGTTATTAGCAATATTAAAAAATTAGTTATAATCCTTTAAATGATGTTGTATTATGCGAAAGCAGAATGTCATAAAGTATTTAAAAATATACTTTTTATGCTTTTTCTGGAGTTTAGAATGTTTATGATAATCAAGCAGAAATTATTTAGTAGAAATATGATTAAGACTCATGCTTGTTTAATAAAATAATCTCATAAAGTCATGATAAGGTACTTATAGGAGCTTTTACAGGTTTTGTGTAGCTTAAGAAAATTGAGTTGAGTGAAAATCCATTAGAACCGATTTTTGGTTAAGTTTTTTTTAATTTTACTCAAGCAAGTATTATTATTAGTGCTTAAAGTGTTAATATGGACGCTTTATTGATTTTAGGAATTCATTAATTTTAAAACAAAGAAGAGGTTGATAATTTAGTACATCCACATCCTACTGATTTGAGAAGGGGTGTATTTGGAAATAATTAAATAATAAATTTTTCTCATATAGTTTAAGAAGTTATAAAAGGAGAAAGTAATGTTTTTAGCTTTTAATTAAAAGTTAATTATTAATATGTTGTTTATGTTGTGTTGGCGAATAAAGAAGGATGTAGAAATGCTATGTATTCTGAAATTAAATATAAGTAGTTTACTTTTACAATAGATAATTTTGGTTAGATAGTTTTAGATTCTTTAATTTTGATTGGAATTTTTTTCTTTTACATATGAAATTTTTATAAAAATAATTAAATATAAATATGGTTTTTAATATTTTAAATAATAATATAAACATTAAAATTAAATATTTTTAATAAAATATAATTTTTAAAACAAAATAAAAAACTTTGTATTTTTTTATAATTAAAATGATAAATCAGAAAAATAAATAAATTTATTATATATATTTAATTAAGAATGAAATAAATAAATTTATTATATATATTTATTTAAAAATGTTATATATAATATGATTTTTAATTTAATGATTTAACTTTTAATATAAAATAAAATAAAACAAAAATAAGTTAAATTAAATAAAATAAAATATTGTAAACAATTTTCTTATTAATAGTGTAAAAATTTTAATATTTATATATTAATATATTAATAAAAAAAATATAATTAGTCAATTAATTATATAGCAATATAATTTATTATTTTGTATACTAATATATATTTTATATCTGTTTATATAATACTATTTATTTAAAAAAACAAAAAAATATATTTTTCAATATTTTTTTTACAATTAATTATATTTTTAATTTTTAAAATTCAAAATATCATATATTTATAATATAATTTTATTTAAGACATTAAAATGAGTAATTTATATGTATTTTTTTTTTTTAAACATTTTAAATCAGACGATGATCCTATTGTAGCAACACACTATAATAATATTAAAATACAAAGTATATATGAATAATAAAATTTTAATTAGAAAAAAAAATAGTTTAATAATAAGTAAGTAAAATAACTGATAAAAGTAACAGTTTTACATTTTTTTTATTTATTAATCCTGAAAGTGGAAATAAATAAGCAAAATAATATTTAGACTTAAATGTTACTTTTTTTTAAAAAAAAAGTTTTAATTAATTTTTAAAAAAAAGGTTGAAACATTAAAATTTAATTTAAATAAAGAAAAAGATGAAATGAAAAAATATGAAGCATAGTTGTATTTTTATAATTTTATTGATCCTGAGTAAAGAAATTTAGGATTATTAAAATTAAAGGAAGAAATTGAATAAAGTATTTTATATAAACAAATAATAAAATTTGATAAAAAAAAAATTAAGAATAAGAAAAATTTTAATTTATTAATTAGATAAAACAAATATAAGAGCAATAGTTTGTGGAGGAGATGGATCATTAATGTGGGTAGTCAGTCAAATTATATAATAAGGATGTGATATCGAATAATGTCCAATTGGAGTAGTCCCTATTGGTACAGGAAATGATTTTTCGAGAGTATTAGGTTGGTTATATGTTATTTTATAAAAAAAATTAATATATTTATAATAGGATGGGGAGGAAATAGTCCTTCTGAGTTAATAGGAAAAAATATGGAAACATTAAAAAAAATGACTCTTAAATGGATTTAATCAATTATTGAAGAATTTGATATTTGGGATATTAAAGTTGAAACTTTAGAAGTAAAAAAATATGAATATTAAATAAAAAAAGAATATAAAAAATTAATAAAGAATGGACATTTTAAAAAAATAGAAAAAATATTAAAAAATGGAAAAACAGTTTTATAAAAATAAATTATGCAATAAAAAAATTCTGAAGATAAATTAGAAAATATTCATGTATTGAGGCATAAACTAAGCAATTATATGAGTGTAGGTGCTGATGCTAGAATAGGGTTTGGATTTGATAAAAATAGAACCAAGAGTACTTGTGTTAATAAAATGATTTATTGTTGGGAAGGATTTAAAAAAAATTTTTTAAAAACATTAAAGATGGATAAAGTATTATAAGGATTATAATAAATATAACCTGATGATATAGAAAGCGATGAAGTATAAATTGTTTTTTGTTTTATAATTAAAATATCAATAGTTTTCCAATTATAATATAAACATTGAAAACAATGCATAAAATAAAATATATTAATTTATTACGAAAAAAAAAGTATAATAACAATAAAATAATAATTCTAATAGTAAAAAAATTATAATTTTTAAAATATTTACCAAATTTTTTAATTAATTTAAAGAAATAAACATCGATGATATTGTATTAAAAGGAGATCCTATAAATATATTACTTTTAAATATAAATAGTTATTCATAAGGTGTATATGATATATGGAAAAACTGCAGAAATAAATTAGCTCTTTAAAAAAACAATAATAAGCCAATAAAAGATACTTTTTAAGAATAAAATTTCGGAGATGGAAAAATTGAATTTTTATCTTTTTATTCTATTAATAGTATTGGAATGGAAAGAATAATAAAAGGACAAGCACATAGGGTTGGGTAAGGAGGCGGCCCTTTTATTCTAAGATTTAATAAAGAAAATAATAATAAATAACCTATTGTTACATATTTTTAAATAGACGGAGAATATTATTAAGTTGTTTCACCTAAATGCATAAAAATTAGTAAATGTAAATAATTACCAAGAGGAAAGATTAAAGTTATGGTAGAAAGTTCTTCCGTTTAAACAAAAGTTTGAAAAAGTAATAACTTTGTAATTCACATATATATAAAATATATTTAATTTGCACTATATAGATTTTTAGTGAAAATTAATTATTCTTTTTATTATAATGTAATATTTAATTTATTTTTATCATTAAATATATTGCTTATTTATAGATTTTTTTATTTTTTCTATAATTTTTTATTTTATAAGCAACATGCTTTTTTTTGATTAAATTTAAAAAAAAAGTTAAAGAAAAAATAAAAAATCTATAGATTTTATTTTTAAATTCAATATTAATTATAAAAGTATGTACAGTAAATAAGTATTATAATTTAAATTATTTTCATTTCGAATTATTTTTATTTTTTTAAAAACTTAATCGAGAAAAAAAAAAAATGGAAATAGCCTTTATTTTTTTGTTTGGTTGGGTTTTTATAAAAAAACATTTGAGAGAAAATAAAATAATCTATAAACAAATATTATAATAATAGTAAATAACTACATAAAGATTTTTTTTTATTCAATAAATTTTATATTAGTAAAGAATATATATACAATTCTTTATATTTATTTTTTAATATTTTATCCTTAATATGTAAATATTGTTTGAAATTGTTTACTAATTTTCATTCAATTATTTCATACTCGTCATCTATATTCTAAATCTTTTTTTCTTATTAATTTATTTAGTTATTATTTTTTATTCCATTTTAATCATTCTTATTAACGATAATTTAATTATTAATTAAATCCTCATTTAAAGAAAAAGGGATTTCTTTTAAATCATCAATATAATTATCATCATGTTCAAATCCTATTATATAATTGCTGTCTTTATATTTATTCTCATAGATTGAATTAAGTTCATATATATAAGAGCAGAAATTTTAAAAATCATCAAGATTTTATAAGTAAAATCCTATTGAAACTTCCGAAGAAACTTATTATAAATGAACTGTTTTTGGCTATTTACAAAAATAGCTTTCATAAAAGACACTATTAACATTTAAAAGTTCTTTTTCTTAATAATCCTTCATTTTTTTATAAAATAATAAATATAAAAAAATTATAAAATACTGACTTATACAAAATGAGGATCTAATACTATCAAATTTTAATTTTAATAACCTACAATATATAAAGCTCTTTATTTTTTACCTGATAACGCGCCTATAAAATATGGGTTTTGAACAAGCAATTTAAAGTAATTGTTATATTTTTAATCAAATTTATCTATGCCGAATTTTTAATGTAAAACCAATAAGATTTATTTTTATTTGACTTAAAAAGATTTAATTATACTCTTTGTAAAAATAATTTAAGAATTAATGATTTATAAATTATATTCATTTTAAGAATCAAGTATATCTCCTAATGCACTCATTATTTCAAAAGAACTATAATATCTATTTATATTTTATTGCTTTGTAATATTATAAGCATTTTAGCAAATTTTTTATATAGAAAATGTAGTTTAAGAAGAATCGCTATCAATAAACATTTCAATTATTTTAATAAATTATTCCTTTCTAATTTATTTATTTTTATATTCAACATTACAATATAAATAATTCCTTAAGCATTAACTTAAAATCATTTAACCACATCTTATCATACATCCCCATCCCATATCTGTTGTTATGTTAGTTATTTTTTATTTATTGTTATTGGTGGGAAATTTTATCTATAACTAAACCATATTAAACTCTAAAATTATCTTTTGAAATCTTTTATTATTTTATGATCTGATTTATTCGAATATTATTAATTAAATAAATTTATTGGATAATTTTCTGACATATCTGAATCAGAAAAATTAAACTTTTAATTATAACTATTTATTTTATATTAAACTATAAAAATAAATAATTTTATTTTTTACTAGAATTTTTATATTTTTTATAATAATGAAGATGAGCTATTATTGCTTTATTATTTTTGTTAGTCTTTATCTAAATTTTATAAAAAAAAATGTATATTTAAAAAAAAATTAAATATAAATAAATAAATGATAATTGATAAAAAATTAATTTTTATTATAAAAAAAATGTATATATTCAATATTTTAATTATTAATATTAAATTAAATGCTTATATATAACAATATATTCTAACAATTTCAAATTAAAAAATTATTTTTATTAAATATTTTTTGATGCAACCTTAATTTTATTTTATATCAATAATAGTATTAATATCATTTTATAAATGTTCATCATCTATTTAAAGTTCTCTAATTTCCCAATCTTCTTGTTCCATTAATTTTTTTATTATCAGGATTTTTTTTAATTTATAAATGTAAAAGATAATTATTTTTTAAATTTATTTTTAAAATATTCTTTCATAAATATAAAAAATAATATAATAAATAAATTGTAGCTATAAAATATATATTTGTAAAAGTTATGTTAATAAAATTAAATTTTTTTATAAGTTTTATTATTTGTAACTTTTTGTACTTTTAATTATTTATAAATATCAATTTTCATTATCTTCATTAAAAATATGTTCATAATCTTCTACTAATGATAATTCATCTACCTTTATTTTATTAATGTTTAAAAATAATTTAGTAAAAATTATTTTATAAATGTTTAAAAATAATTTAGTAAAAATTATTTTATAATATAATTACCTCTAATAAATACTATTCATCCAATAAATGATGTCTTAATAAGTTCTCGAATGTTAACCTTTATAGTACCTCTTTTTCTATAAATTTAATTTAAAATAATTTAAAATCCAAAATATAAAAGTACTTAAAAATTATTCTAAATCTTCTTCTGCTAATAAGATAGCTTCAATAAAATTTTTGAATTCAATATATTTACTTAATATATCAATTTCATTTTCTTATACTTTATTAAAATATTAATATATTATAAAATAAATATAAAAATTTTAATTAAACCTCCTAAAATTTAAATTAAAATAAGTCCGAAATTTCTCAATAAAGTAGCTTCCAATTTTTCATGAGAATGAATAGCTTATCTTCTTAATTAAGGAAAATCAATATTTTTCATATATACTCTATAAAATATAAATATGAATATATATTTATATTAATATATATTATTATAAATTTTATATATTTATATTTATATATTTTTAAAATATTATTTTTACTTAAGTTTATTATAAACAAATATTTTTTTTAGTTTAATAGGAAGTTAAGGGACATATGTTGTTTTATGCAAGATATCCTTAAAAGCTAAAAATATTTCTCTCATCCAATATCTAAAAAGACTCATTCCTGGATTAAGTCTGTTTTTGCCTTATTTTATTATTTTTTTTAATGAAATTCCTTTTGTAAATTCAACGAAATATAAATTATATAAAGAATCAGCAATATTATTAAACCCAATATAATTAGGGAAAAATTTAGAAAAAACTAATTCTTTATATGCATTTAAGGAATTTAATTTACATTCTAAAATATCAAAGTCTGAAAACAATCTATATTTTAAACTAAATTAAATTAAATTTATATAGATATACTTTGGTATTTTTAAAACTTCAACAGGAAAATCTTAATCAATATCATATCCAATTTATTTAACTATTCCATTTGCATAATTTTTTATAGATTTACAGGTTAATTTCTATAATGATATTTTTTTTAATAATATTCTCTATTTATTGAAAAGGCTTCTGCATTTTAATAATCATGTGCTGTCTATATTATTAAACCCAATATAATTAGGAATATATTTTTAATTATTAAACTAATTCTTTATATGCATTTAAGGAATTTAATTTACATTCTAAAATATCAAAGTCTGAAAACAATCTATATTTTAAACTAAATTAAATTAAATTTATATAGATATACTTTGGTATTTTTAAAACTTCAACAGGAAAATCTTAATCAATATCATATCCAATTTATTTAACTATTCCATTTGCATAATTTTTTATAGATTTTACAGGTTAATTTCTATAATGAACATCTCTTGTTCTATTTTAATAATATTCTCTATTTATTGAAAAGGCTTCTGCATTTTAATAATCATGTGCTGTCTATATTTGAGTTTCTTCAATGTCTAGGAATATATCTTTTAATTATTAAACATTTTCCTTTTTATTTTATACTGTATTATTGTATTCATCATATTCTTAAACTATGCTTCTTAATTCAAATTTTAATTTTTCGAAAATTATTAACAAGCATTTTAACTCTTAATTATTTAATTTTCCTGTATTCCAAAAACTTAATGTACTTTTGCAATCGTTAATCTATTTTTATAGTTATTATTATTTTTAAAGTATTTTTTTTTACTTATGATTCTAATTTTACTAAATTATTTTCTAAGTTTTTTATTTAATCCTCATTAAAAGTTTCAGCTTTTTTATTTATTTATTTTTATTATAAATATATTAGATTACTTATTATTCGTATAAAATGCTCTATTGTCATTGGATATATAAGTATAGCAGGATTTATTGCTTTTAAATCTTCCAATAAAATCATTTTATTAATATATAAGAATCTTAGTAATTCTTACCTTTACATAATAATTAAAAATAATATTTTTGTTACTTATTTTACCATTATTCACGATTTTTAATTTCAAAATCTTCATGAAGAAAATTTTTACAAAGTTTTACTAAATTATCTAAATTTGATTAAAATTCAGTCATTTTTAAATAGTTTTATAAAAAAAAATTAAATATAAATTATAAATAATTAAAAAATAAAAAACATTTAAAAAATAATTAAATAAATATAATAAAATATATGAAAAAAATAATTGAAAACTAGCTTGTTTTAAATTAAAACAATAAAAAAAACTATTAATCATTTTAATCAGGCAGTTTTTTTCTTTAAAAAAATTAAAATTTAAGTGCAAGAAAAGAAATTTCTTAAGAAAAAAAAAAAAGTATAATATTTCCAAAATAAATTCAGAATGAAAAATTAGTTAAAAAACTTGAAAAAATATAAAATTTAATTTCTAAAAATAGTGATTTATACTCAAGTGTATATAAGCAACATTAAAATATATATATTTAATAAATTAAAATTTTATTTTAAGAATTTGAAAATAAATAGCTAAATTAATAAGAAAAAATATAGTTATAAAATTTTTTAGATTTATAATAATTGTTTGTTAAGTTAACGAAAGAAAATCACAAAAAAATAATAGAGTAAGAAAGTATAATAAACACTTTGAAATAGAAAATATAAGAGTAAGACTTATGTATTTAAAATGTCAAATTAAATTAAAATAAAGTTCTTAGTTAATTAAACGAAAGCTAAAAAAAAATTCATTAATAAAGTAATTTGTCTTAAATTGAAAAAAAAGTTGAATAAAAACAGATTTATTTATAATTATAAAATACTAAATTACATTAAGAAGTAATAATTTTTTTTTTTAAAAAAATAAAAAAAAATAGATATAAAATTTAGTAAGTGGATTATAAGATACATAAAATAATGAGAATATAGAAATTTACAAAATAGAGATATAAAGTTTAAAAGGGAAAATAGAATAATTATACAAAAGTATAAAAGAAGAATTTTGTAAGCACGAATAAACACTTCAAATAAATTAAATTCTTATTGGAAATTAAAAAAATTAAATTACTAAATTGGAAAAAGAAATAAATTTATATAAAAACTTAACCCAAAACTAAGAAAATTAAATAATAAATCAATAAGAAAAAATAGTAGAATTAGAGTTTAAATCAGTAAATTATAGGGAACGACTTTTTATGCTTTAAGAAGATTATTATGGAAAAAACTAAATAATTTCGCTTTTATTAGAAATATAATAGAAAATAAAAATTTCATTTAAAAAACTTTAAGAAAAAGTAGAAAAAGAAAATGTTGATAGAACTTTATATTTATAAATACCTGAAAATGTATAAATTATTAATTAATTAATATCTTTATTTTATTTGTTAAGAATAATTTTAATGATGAAAATCTTTTTTTTTAAGCATTATAAAGTACTTATAAATAAAATTAAATTTTCAAAAGAAGAATCAGAGCTGAATATTAAGGACTCTCATAAATACAAATGGAAAGAAAAATAAGAAAAAATGAATAAAATATTACATAAAATAATAAAATAATTGATGGCAATATAAATTTAAATAATTACAGATATTACAAAAAAAATTATTATGTATTTATAGAAAAAAAGTATGAAAAAGTAATTTAAGCAAATTCTGATATATATAAATACAGAAAAATAACAAATATTTTTTTTTCTACCCTTAGAGGCATTTTAGATTCTAAATATAACGAATATTTCAGCATTTAAAACGTACGCTAATTTTCTGATCTTTCTGACTTTACATACAGCTGGTTATTAAACTTTTAAATAAGTAAAAAGACTCGATAAATAATCAAAAATATTTAAATTTCGGAAAGTGAAACATTAAAAGATACTATTCATACTGATTTTTATATTGATTTAATAAATCCGGTTTTAGATTAAATGTGGGAAATAATTACTTTTCGTTAATTTTTAAAAGGAGACTGTTCTCTAGATGAAATTTATTTTTATTTACACTGCAGGAATATGCTTTTTAAAGGACCTTAATTGAAATATTTAAGTGCTTCGTTTTAAGCCATTCATTTTGTGGAATTTTAACATGTAAAACATATTATTGAACTAATAATGTGTAAATATGACTAAGGAAATATTGATTTTGTGCTTTCTTAAATAAGAATGAAATGCTAAAAAAAAAAAAATTCGGTATAGTTATTAGATTCAGCATTTGTTTTGAGAGTTTTACTTGAATATTATAGAGCGGAAAAAATTTAAAGGTTTAAAATTATTTAAGAGCTGTTTTTGTGTTAATAGGGAATTAACAATAATTTGTTTTGTCTTGATTTTGATGGATTTAAGTCTATTTTTGAAAAAAATTTCACCTCTACAAGTTAGTTAGAAATTGCTTAACTTTATAGAGAATGTTTGTCTGTAGGCAATGGGTTAGTTAATTATGAGGTGTTCTATACTGTGGCGAGTGAAAGTGGATTTTTCTTGAATCAACTGAGAATCAAATTTCATTTCGATTAAGAATATTATGGATGTGAGTGTTATCCTTAATAAGGAGATACAAATAATTTTTTTTTGTAAAATGTTGATAAGCTCTGTGATTATGTTATTGAGAAGGAATAATTTTGTCAAAATATTATTTAGTTTGCTACCGAATAAGGAGTTGAATGTGTTTTTAATGATTGTTTTACGTTTATTTAGTTATTGAGAAACTTTAAAAATGTTAAGTTTAGAAATGAGCAGTTATTTGGGAGGTATTTTAGTTAGTATTTAGGATAGTTTTTGAGGGTAATTAATACTATGAGTGAAATTTAGTATTTTAAAAACAATTAGATTTAAAATGATGAAGAATTTAATTATTTTTAAATGCAAATTAAGTAAATTGAATGCGGAAGCGAGTTTGTTTCTAATTATCTAATGAATAAATATTAATAAGATTATAAAAAAAAAGTTTATTAAATAAAAAAAATTCAAGTTTGGATAAGAAAAAAAATCAATAAATGGTATAATGTATTAAATATCTTGTTACTAAATAAACTTTAAGATATGATGAAATAGAAATTTTGAATTTTTTTCTTATTTTTTATTTAAATAAAAAAATTTATATAAATAATAAAATTCCAATATAATATATTCATATTCTATAATCTAAAACAATTTAATAATATTTTTATATAATTAAAATATTAAATAAATTATAATTGTATTATTTTCAATTCACATTTTATTGCTTTAAATTAATATATAAACTTAATATTTTTATAATTTTAAAATTGCATTTTTAACTTTTTAACTCTAAATAAACTTAGTATTTATTTGATTTTTATTAAAGTTTTTAAAAAAAACATATATTTTTTTTCATCCAATTAAAAAATAAAAAAAACTAAAAATTAATATTATCAAATAAAATAAAATGTTTAATGAAAAAAAATAAAATCAAAAAGCAGATTTTAATAATTTTTCATTTCTAATTTCATTAAGTTTAAAATGAGGCACATTTTTATCAAGTGAATCGTAAGCTCTAGCTGCTTTTAATACCTTATTACTCATAATATTATAGCTATATCCTCTTTCTTCTATTTCGACTTTTCCTAAATTCATCAACTCAGTACTTGCAGAACTACTTGTTAAATTCTTAGGAATCATTTCATGTATAACATTAGCATACCTATCTGCAAAATGATACCTTAATTTAGAATCGTTATAGATATCAAATATTTCATCTGCCAATTTATAAGGATTAGCCGCTGTCGATATTAATTCATGATAAGCTTCCCCTTTAATAGAGTAGTTAATATCAGAATTAAAATTGTTATAAAGTTAGTTCAAATATGCCCATACGAAAGGCATATTGGAAATTATAACAGAAGGCAATTACAAAGCAGCACATTCGCTCACAACTTCTCCATTCATAGGAATACCTACATCTGCAGCACACATAGCGGCGAATTTTTCCTCTTCTCCATTTACAGTGTGTACTTATAATCCATTAATGGGATTTTATGATAAAAGCCCGTCGATATATGATTTGTTTTCGGCAGAGTCGGCTGTGATAATGATAGAAAAGTCTTATTTGGATACATTTTGTAATTAGGGAATTTTGAAGAATTCAGTAATGGTCTTTGAAAGCAATTTTACAGCAAATTTAATTTCGTTTTTAGTATTACCAGGTACTAGTAAAAATACGTGTTATTTTTCGGGAATATTTAGTTCTTTTCTAGAAATATTTCTTTATTCTTGTACAAGTTTTTCTACTATTTCTTTATGTTATTAAGGGTCTTTAGCTATTCTTAAACTATTTTAACTCGCAAGATTATTTGGATGAGCTTTAGATTTTTAAAAAAGATACTAAATAGCCCTTCCTACGCCTTCATGTCCGACACAAGTGGAGGGAAATTAGAAATTATTGAAGTAATTGTATTAAACTTCGGGTATAGTGTAGAAAAAATGGTCTAAATATTCCATAAATTCATATCTTTGGAAAAAACGGGACCTATTATAGAAAAAAGTAGGTGGTTTTAGCAATTTATTCACTTCAAAAGTCTCTAAAACATCCACATAAAGCTTTTGCATGAAAAATTCGTTCCCAAACGTAATAAAAGCACTTGGAACTTTGTTTTTATTTACGATATCTTCGAATAAATTGGTTTCTTTTCGGAGATGACGTAATACTTTACTATTTGCATAGTGTGTGTAGGCCATGTATGGGTGATATGCTCTAGCTATATGGAAACGTAAAAAATTTTTCAAAGGAAAGAAGGGTTTATCTAAAAATTTATTCATATTATCATAGGATGTACGTAAACCTTATTAGAGCATTAAAGGACCGCCTATGCCTATGAATGTGTATTCATTATTACTATTTTCATTTAAAGATTGCATAAATCTGGAAGCTTGGAGGTCGTGGGAAGGACTACCGGCTGCTATGAAAATTAATTTTTCTTATTGGGAAGTAGAAAACATGTAGCGTTGGGTTTTGCTTATGTTTTTGGTCAAAAACATTTTTTTTATTTTTTTTGTGTTATATGTTATTTTTTAACTTTTATTTTATATAAATATAAGAATATATATTTTATTTTTTTTCCTTGAATTGATATTAAAAGAATAAATAATATATTATATTTTTGTAAATAATTATTACTGCAAATTTAGAAATATGTATATTTTTTAAAAATTATTATTAATAGTAAATTAATTTGTATTTAAAAATTTTTTGATAAAAATAACTTTTTTTAATATTTCAATTTATTTGTAAAAATAAAAATTAACAATTTTTTAAAAATGAGCAATTAAAATTCATAGACTAAATTAAGAAATAATTCATTAAAATATGGAGAATAAAAATTAAATTAAGAAAACTAAAACTTAAAAAATTAATTATTTCAAAAAAATCAAGAATTATAAAGCCTATATTAGGTGTGTGAAAAAATTGAATAATTAGAATTGATAATATAATAGCAAGATGAAATGATAAATAAATAAAATCAATAAAATGAATAATATAATCTTTTATAAGAATAAATAAAAATTTTAGAAGAAAAATATGAATTTGAGCACAATTCTGTATTGAAATATAAAAGTTTATTTGAATAAATATAATCATAAATAAAAAAAGTTATACAGGAAAATGATAATATGAACTCTTTATTAAATTAAAAAGATAAATAGTTAGAAGAAAAAACATAGAGTTTAAACAATTTTTAATAAATTTTCGATAATCAATAATAAGATTTTAAATTAAATTAATTAAATAAATGAAAATTTTAAAAAAAAACTAAGAATTAGAACTTGAATTAAAACAATTAAAAGAATAAATTTAATAAATTTAAGAAAACAAATAAATTTAATTGAATGATATGAGTTAAAAAATAGAAATTTTAGAAGAATAAAATAGATAAAGCAATAATGTAATTAAATAAATAAGTATTATAAAAATTATATTATTTATAAATTTATGTATATATTATTATATAGAATTATGAATTGAAATAATAAATTAATGAATTATTAATAGAATAAAAAAAACATTAAAGTAAAATTTTAGACTTTATTGAAAATTAATCATTAATATTTAACGAAAAATAAAGATTGGAATAATAATTTAAAAATTAAATTTAATTAAATTAAGATTTAAAAAATCAAATTGAAAGTTTAAATGAAATAATTGAAAATAGAAAAAGTTAAATTGAAAAAAATTAATATAAATTTGAATAGTTTAAAATTTAAATTAATTAACTTAATTAAGAAAATGCGAATTTAATGAATTAAAATAATACTTAAAAAAATGAAATTATACATCTTAATTCCTAAATAAAATAATCATAATATTATTATTAAAATATAGCTAATATAGTTAAATTAAGAAAGGAAGATTATCCAAATTTTTATTAAAATAATGAAGAATGAACAAACAATAGATAAAGAAGTTAAGTTTAAAGTGAAAATAAATTCTATCAATAAATCAATTTTGAATGATTCAATGAAAATTTTTAATAATTATTTATTTAAAATTATTTGTATTAAATAATAAATAATATTTTTGATAAATTTATTAATATATATTATAACTTTTATTTTCTATTATATTTTTACCATTTATTAATTTTCCAAATATAAAATAATTATTTAAAGCGAAAAATGATTGACATAACTATATCATCTCCTTAAAGAAATAAAACTATTTAATCAAATATAACTTGGGAACAATATTTATAAAATAAAAAATGTAATTATTAAAAAAAATTTTGCATCACAAATAATATTTATTTATTAAAAATCATAATTTGCTTTTTATTTATAATATTAAGCCAAAATATATAAAAGTAGTAATAATAACTTAATCACTAATCAAAACAGTTTTTTTTCTTAACATAAAGTAAATACTGATTTTAGATTTAATAATAAAATTAGTTAAGTAGATACACGAAAATAAAGTTATGATTCTGCCTAAAGTGCTAATTAAAATACATTATAAGAATATAATGTAAACAACAGTACTTAAAAATAAATAACAGGTAAAATCTATATATATTAGTATTCGTTAATAATAAAATAATTTGAAAAAAAGAATAAGCAAAATATTTAATCTAAGATTATACTGAAATTAATTTAAATGAAAACGACATATAAAGTTTAAAAAAATATTAAAATCCTATTTACAATTTTAAGTCTGAAATGAATTAAATAATAAAATAATCTTAATCACTAAGAAAAAATTTAGACAAAACAAATGTTTTCTAAAATACTTTTAAATAATAAGCTGAAAAATTAAAATAAAATTAAGTCGAAACTATAAAAAAATAATCTTCAAATGATTTAGAATTTTTAATTTAAAACGATCACTTTAAAATATATAAAATAAGCTATGATTTTGATAATATAAATAAACAAAGAAATACTAATCAAAATTAAAATGGCAAATAAATATATAGAATAGAAGATATTTAAGTATAATTAAATTTTATTCTAAATATTATAAAATAAAATAAAATAAAAATATATAGAATATAGATGAAAAAGTTAAGTTTGATACTTAAAAAGAATAAAAACTATTATTACCAAAATTTTTAAAACTTAATCCTATATAAACTTATATTATGAAAAATAATAAAAATATAAAAAGTAAGTCCTTTTGTTTGACTGAATTAGATAGTTAATATTAATTTGGATCAGAATTAAGGTTTTAATAAAATTTAAAATAAAAAAATAAATTTAAAACAGAAAATGAAAACAATACTGTTAGTTTTGAGTAAATAATGGCCATTTGTATAAAAAAAGAAGATAATAATAATTTAAAAAATATTATTTCGAAGAAAGAGATTAATGAAAATCATAACATTAAAGATATATAAATGAATCCGATATATATATTATTACAAGAAATTCATAAATCTAAACAAAATAAACATAAACATTACTAATTTTAATAGAAGCTTTAAAAGTTATTATAATATATAAGAAAAAATGATAAAGGTGAAGATATGTTTAGAAATTAAACAAATGAATAATTTTTAATTAATTTAGAAGCTAATTCTATATGTTTAGAAGGATAAAAAATACATGGATATAAAAAAATAAAGCTTTTGTATATATATTTAAAAGAAATTTTAGATTTAAAAAAAAAAATATAAAGATAATAGGTAAATAAATATAGTAAATATTAAAAATTTAATATATTATAAATTAGTCAAAAATAAGATATGAAGAGTATATATATAAAGACTTAAAATAGAAATATTAATATAAATTAAAATAAATGCATACATTATTAAATTATAAATATAATTAAAAAATAATTATTTTTATAATAATCTGTTAAAAATTACAAATAAGCTTTTTTTATTTTTATAAAAATAATTATTAAAAAAAAATAGAGTTTTTGGTTAAAATTATAAAAATTTAAAAATGCTTAAAGTATTTTATAAAAAACTAAATTAAAATAATAATTATAAATTTATAAAAAAAATCAGATTTTAAATTAATTCATCACAATGGTTATGATGAAATATTACACAAAACTGAAAAACATTAAAAAACATTTATTTTTTTACATGGTGCTGGTAATACATGTAGTATGTATTATAACTTATTTATGTCTAACTTTAGCCCAGTATGCAATAATACTAAAGTAATTCTGCCTTAAGCTCCATTAAGATATTTAGGAATAAGCAAATAAAATATAAAAATGCCAGGTTGGTATAATATATTATTTATTAGCAATGAAGATAGAATAAAATATAGTCCTTATTAACTTTATGATTTAAATGATATATAATAATAGTAATAAGTTCTTTAATAAATAATAGATAATGAATATGAATAATGTGAAGGTAATTTATTTATAGGAGGAATCAGCTAAGGATGTTCTATGGCTTTACATGCAGGATTAAGACAAAGCAAAAAAATATAAGGAATTATAGCCCTTAGTGGTTATTTTATGGATTTTGGTAATATAAATTAAAATAATTCTGATACTCCAATTTATGTATCTTGGGGTATGTAAGATAATATTATATCGGAAGAATATATGCTAAAAACTTTTAATTAATTAAAAAAATATAATACTAATATTATTATAAATTATGAGTAAGAATTAGGTCATTCAATTAATGAATATTAATGTAAAAAAATAAAAGACTGGTATTAAAACTAATGATTTCTTTTTTTAATATATATTTTATTAATTAAATTACTATATTGAAAATAATAAATACTTATTTATATAAATCTTTTTATCTAAATTAATAAATTAAACTAATTTTTTTATTTTGGTAAAAAAAGTTTATATTTACATACATTTTTATGATATTAATATATTTTTTCAATTTAATTTTATATTCTATTAAAAATTCAATTAAAGATATATTTAAAATAATAATTTTTTAAATTTCATAAAATAAATATATTATATTTTATATATATTTATATTTATATGTATATTTTTTATTATTTTCTTTTAATAAAAAAAATATATCTATCTATTAATTTCTATATTTATATCTTTTCTATAATTTAATTTTATTTAAAAATATATACAAAAAAAAAAAATTAATATATAAATTTTTATTTATAAATATATGAATTTGTTTGAATTAAGTTTTGGTATTAGGGTTTGGGGTTTGGGGTTGGGGTTGGGGTTGGGGTTGGGGTTGGGGTTGGGGTTGGGGT